GAAAAATGGTTTCTGCTTGAGAGATCTGTTTCTCTCTCTCTTCCTCCATAGATTTGTCCTCCGCCATTGGAATTTCTTCAACATCATTCTCTGGAACCAACCACCTTAACATAGCATTCTCGCCATCTCACAGAGCCACGTGTCATGACTCACCTTATCCATTCCGGTTTAATCTCCAAACCGAATCGAATTGCGCATAACCAACCCCGCAAACAAAAAAATATACTAGGAATTTTTAAAAAAATCGGTTCGATTTGAGCAACCAATCTAATTTAATTTATATCGGTTTTCATAAATAAACCAATCTGCAAACCAAACTGAAAACCGGATTGATCCGGATCAAATCTAGTCCGTTCGTTAAGAAGACGCAGAGAGAAGTAAAAAAAAAAAAAAAGCTTATCCAGAAACTAAACATCAAATGAAAGTCTGAAGAGGAAATCTTCAATTCGAAGAAGATGGCTCTTCTCTGCTTCAGTTCTCTCTCTTCTCTCTCTTCTTCATCTTCCTCGCGTCTTCTTCAACCTTCGCCTTTTGCTTCACCAGGTACACTCGTTTTCTACTCTTACACGTATCGCTTGAGCTTCCGTTTTGTCAAGGAATTGTATCGGGGAAAAAAACTCCATTAGAGACCTAAGAAACCAAATTCCAGTTCCTGGGCTGATTCAATTTCTTGGTTATTGAAAACAAAAAACCTTTTTTTTGTTTTTGGGCACTGGGTTTTAAGCTGAAGTAACGTAGTAGGCTTTCATTGAGGCATTGTATCGAGCACTTGGTTTACTAGTAAATGGCTCTGATCTTTTTGGTTTCTTCCAATCGTATGTGATTTCAGTTTTCAGGGTTAAGCCCAATGTCGTAGAGTACAAGAACAAAGTCTCTCTCAGTGCTTTCAACTTGAGAAGTAGCCATGGAAGAGCAGCGATTGTGAAGGCTTCTGCTTCTGGTGTGGACGGTACCGAGCCCGAGAGCAACGAGGAACCAAAGACTGGCGTTGCTGCTGTTCCGGTGGATAAACTACCATTGGAATCAAAAGAAGCTAAAGAGAAACTGTTGTTGGAACTGAGGATGAAGATGAAGCTGGCCAAGAAGATTAGGCTACGCAGGAAACGGCTTGTTCGTAAGCGTAAGATGAGGAAGAAGGGTCGATGGCCACCTTCGAAGATGAAGAAGCTCAAGAATGTTTAGAGAGATCTGCTGCTTTGTTTTTATTCACTTTGTAATGTTGTTTTTGGTTTTCATGGAAACCATGTATTGGATTTTCAAATGCAACAATTGATTTTTGGTTTAACCCTCGACCTGAGTTCTTTAAACGAGCCATTCGTAATACAAAGAGTAGTGACCAGTCTATAAAAAGAACCAAAAAGTTTGGAACTTGCATCGAGCCAATTGTTTCTTAAGGAAGAACATGTGCGCGGAAGATGAGCGGATAGGTGCAACAGAATCCAGTGCTCCAACACTGCAACAAGGTTTATTTGAAAGATTGATTAACAAACTGATTTGGTTGACTCAAATACTGTGCATGATAAGATACTTTAATTACGCATATATGGCTTACCACAGAAAGGAGTGGACCTTGCTTGAACTTGTCATGGAATGAAAAGGAGAGAGCTTTCGGGTTTTCTCCAGGTCCTCTGATGAAACCTCTGTAATAAGAAAAGCAAAGATTTGTCTTAGGATTTAGACAATGCAAAGATACACAAAAGAAGGTCAAGACCGATGGATGGATAATTGTAGAAATTACTTACACAAGCGATGTTGATACGATAGGTGTCCTTCGCGTGTCGTAGATGGCAATCAATCCTTTGTAATTTTCATCGCCTCCTTTGTATGACACAGCCAATCGTTCCCCAGACGCATCCCATGCTATCTTCTCGATTCCCTCGCTGGTTTGTTCAGTTACGAAAACCCCAATATGAGCAAACCATTAAAGAAAGTCTTTGAGCGGGTTTAGTTTAACAGCAATCAGATAGTTTACCTGCCCGTCAAAGAAGCAATCTCTGGCAATCCAACCGGTAATAGATGGGCATCTGAAAGTAAACCAAACAATTGCATCAAGTAACTGATTAAGTATATCAAGTAGCATATGAAAAACGATTTCAAGATTTCTGCATACCCAAGGATGGTGGCTTGGATGAAAAATGAACAGAACCCAGAGTTGAAGATTTCGAAAATGAAATCAGGATAAGCCGTCCTTCAGGGTCCCATATTGCTCCCTGTAAAAAATGGTTAGTTTTAGTCCTTTTAAGAGGAAATGGAATATAGTTCCAATTTCATATTGTCAAAGACGAAAAAGGAATGCTTGGTAAATAGAATGGCAAGTCATGTACATATTATATGCATAAAACACTCGCGACATTGACCTTATCCAACAAAATTGGCTTTAACAAAAGTCAATTGCATATCTCACTGTCCTATGTATTGGGACACGATTGAATTTACCGTCA